CTCCGGCCCCCTGCACTCTCCGGGGGATCCCGGCGTCCGCGCTCCGGCCGAAGCGCATCCCCGAGGGGTGGACGCGCCCCGCTCTCCCCTTGCATTTTCTTATTCTGAGGAGCGTCGTCTTCTGAGAAGGGCAGCTTGGGTCGGGGTTTACCACAGGCTGCCTGGCTGGCCTGGCCCCGACACTCTAAAATGGAGACTTCGCCGCAAGATACACCAAGTGCATTTAACTTGTGCATTTTCGGGGCGAGACTGGGCCCTGTCAAATTAGAGCTACTCCGGGCAAACTGCAAATACAAGATACTAGTGAAGATGCTACTTTCTGCAACTTTGATGAGTTCAGAGTTACAGCAAAGAAAAGCCAGACAAATTTTTTCACTGTTCAGCTTTTAGGTGTGTACAGCCTACCAAAAAGCCCATACGCTATCTCATCAGAAGAGGGAGGGTAAAATACCAGTTCAGTCGCGTAGCCCGTCTTAAACTATAGACTGTATTTTTAAACAATTTATGCTGGAACAAGGATTTTCATACATTTAACAAAGCCATCTCCAAGATGTTGCTCATCTTTCACCCTCCAGGCTTAGATGTTTACACATGAAAATTTTTCCAAATTAATTCTTATTCTGATATTGCACAACTTCTTGTCTTTAAGAAGCCAAACAATTATGATGAAACTGCTGTATAAAATCTACATAAGCAGTATTGCAGAATCATTTAGCAGTATTTTTTTGATGTAGTTACATCCTCAGTAAAGAGTCTTCAGTGAATTCTAACGCCAACTTCTATTATGACTAGGTTTCTCAGGCTGCAGCAGACTTGAAGCAATTCTGCCTGCAGAATGCACAACATGATCCCCTACTGACAGGAGTATCATCAAGTACAAATCCATTCAGACCCCAGAAAGTTTGTTCATTTTTGTAATTACATGAACTACTTCGGTATCTTTCAGTGGTAAGTTCTTGAATTAAGATTCATAAACTGTTCTGTCATTAAAACCATTTAAATGAGACTGCCTGTATTAAAAATATTCAGAGGAGGCAGCTGGTGTTGGTCTAGATGCCCATTTTGGACTCCTCTTCCCCTATTCTGGTCATAGCTCTCTACTGGACATGATAAATATTATGAGTAGCATTTAGCTGCTGCAGAGCTTCCACCAGTTTTTGTTGCTGCAGGAAAGTAGTAGTGGGGCCAGCTACTATGGAGTTGCTATTTGGACTAACCTGGCTGTACAGTACTTCTGCTGTATCTTCTTTCTGTCTGAGGGTACTGTTTCCCTTTTCTCACATAGGATTCCTCCCCTGACAGCATACATGGTGACTCCTGATGGTGGCAGATGAAGCAGACTATAGTTCTTGAACTTCTAAAGAGTACTTCCAAAGATAGATTAGTGGTGGTCTCCAAGAAGAGCGCTGTCATCTATAGGGCACACCCTCTAAGTGAAAAGTAAAAAAGTATGTGCTCCAGAAATTGTATCAAGGCCCATACTCCACTCAATTAAGCTGCTACACAGGTAGCAGTTTAAATAACTAGAAACAGCTACATACTTATTTGGATTTTCATTCCAAAAGGTCTGTAGGTTCATTAGCACTACTGCTGTCACTATTAAGATTACTAATCTGGCATTCCTTGGAAATTCTGATGAGATTTTAGACTAAACTATTTAGAAAGGCGAGTTTTAGATCCACAGTTGTCTCACCAAGACTCCGAGAGTCACAGTAATTTGACATTTTGCCCACAGTAAATGCACAATAATTCTATCTTGTCCTTCTTTCCCACCCCTCCTTGACTTGGATCTGTTGGGGGTGAGAGCATAAATGTTATTGTGAAGTACCTGATATGCAGTTTACCATAGTTCACAATCCTTAGAAATCTCATAATGATTCTTAACCTTGATGAATTCTGATGTTGTAGCTGACTTCCAACACCCAAAAAATTGTAGTTTGCTAGATTTAAATTGTGTTATTTAAGCAGCTTTATAGAAAGGTGACCACAGTCAGACCGAGTCATTAAAATTGTTCTTTCTTCCCTCAGGCAGACTGTAGAAAGCTTTTCAAAGTTTGTGTATAAACAAGGTGGTTCACCTTAGTAAAGACCAGAGTAGTAAGTGTGGATGTTGATGCTTGACTACTTAACAAAAATACTTCCCCTATTGTTTTGAGCATTGTATTGCAGCAGTGTAACTGAAACGTGCTTTATAGAGTTACTGTAGCTTTTAAAGTTATTTCTATTTGAATTTTACCAAGTACTCTGCTTTAAAAGGTATTATTCCTGGACAGAGTTGTGTTCACGCTACTGTAGCTTCAGCTTAAAGCAGTAATTTAAGGAAGAAATCAGTTCATCTGTAAGCATTACAGATTGATTACCTATAAAAAGACAAATAAACTGTACTTTAATCAGTGACACATACAGTTCCCCACTGAGGTTTGCCAAAGTCTAGTTAATTCTTGGGTGTGTATGTCAGGAAGTAAAGTCTCCTCTGTCTCACACAGGACATAAAAAGCTTAAATAGTTTATTTCTCAGTTACAGCCCTTATCTTCCCCCTTTCTCACTTTGGAGTGGAGCACTTGTTCCTGCTGATCTTACAGGCAAAATTCATTAGAACAGCAGTTTTAGAGACACTACCTATAAGGAAAATGTCTTCCCTTCACTGTATCTCTTACAAGCGCTTCCTCAAAATAGGAATTTAGTTGTAATCCTGGTGTTTTCACGATGAGCCAACAGAGTTCAAGTTTGCACAGTCAGCACCACCTCTGTGCAGAGGAGGTGTATTTAGTTACACAGACTCCCTTGCTTTTTCAAAGGCAGAGTAGATGCCTGATATTTCAGTAGACACCAAGTGACTGGGAACAGCTTTTTCTGTCCTTCCACTTAGCAGTTTGGCTTCCAGGAGACACTAAGCTTCAGTTCCTTTGTAACAGATTTGATTATCTTCTTGTAACCTTAGGGCTGGCTTCATGGTTTTAAAAGTTTATAAAATAAACTAATAGTTTTATAAAACAGCTGTGCAAAGGGAAGATTATTTTTTCTAAACAGCTGTCCATGGCATACTCTGAAGGTACATGTTCTTAGACATAGAGTTGCTTCATTTAGCATAAAGTTTCTAACTGCATTTTGGTTTTGTTTTTCAGATCTTTTAGCATCTTTTCCTAGCTGCTGATGTGTGTATGGGCAGAGTGCCTCAAGGAGTGGCCTGGTTTGAAGTCTGTACAAAAGCTTAGCTTTAATGTGCCAAATCGAATTTGTAAAATTGCTACTGTCGTCAAACTTCTTACCATCTACCTCTCCAAATGAACTGTATGCTAGTTGTAATACTTCTGTTTCATAAGGGAATCAGTTTTATATGGCAAGCAAAAAATAAAAGTGTCTTGACTTAGTCTGGTCTTGAAATCACTGTAATAAGTCGATTAACTTCTGGATATATTGACACCTCACCAGTTACTCCATCACTCTACAGCAGCTGGAGAGCATATACAAGAGTCTGTCTTTAAATAGTCCATGCAAGTTTGCCTGGGGTTGATAGTCTTACAAAACAATGAAGCTTCATCAGTACTATACTTAGAAGCACAATTAGAACAGAAAAAGTATTTTTGTCTGTTAGCTTGTAATTCAAGCTGTCCTATTATCACAGACATCAAATAAAGGCAGAGTAACTTAATTGGTCTTTATCTGAAAGAGTAATTCTACTTAATTCTACAAAGATGACTTACTTTATGAGCCATCTTACTCTTTAGGTAAATATGAAAAGCACTTCTTATAGCTGCATATGAAAAAATAAAGTAACTCAAAGAAAACTTAGCTTTTTAGCTGTCAGTGAATGCAGTCTTAAGGCAGAACAGTAGTTTATTCTGCAGGTAATACCAACATGTTCAGCTAAGCAGAATTTTTAGATGAGATAGCTTTATATACTTCTGTAAGCTGGCCTTACAAATTCTTTCCCATTTATGTTTAATTCTTTTTATATAGAAGTATATCAACTGCTTTGGGTATATACCTCTTCTAAATATGACATTTACAGAAGACATAGCTGTTGGAGTCAAACATTTTTGTAAATTCAGCAACATGGCTATTTTATGCAAGAAGTTGAAATAAAATACCAGATTTCCTGGGTTGCATACAGCCGCCTCAGTGTTCTCTACGTAGATCATTTTTGGAAAACTATCACCATACTGTCAGGGAACAGCATACTGTAAATTAGAAAGAGGTTTAAAGTATTTAATCTTACCTGATTAATGGAAGACATCTGGGTTTAGCCACTTAACAGAAAAAAAAAAAAAAAAGGCTGTATAACTAGAAATACTTTATTTTGAGAGTATCTTTAACCAAAATATTTACTGTCTTTGATGTTGGAAAATGTAATTTGTCTCTACAACACAGCAGCAGTCATGGCAAGTCTTCAGTAATAGCTAAATTATAGACTGCTCTGACACTGCCATAGTTTTTTCCTGCTAAACTGGAGTCACCATCCTTGTCATGTTGGATTTAGCTACATCGGAAAGAAAGATGCGTCCAACTTGATCTGCTTCTGTAGAAACTTTTAATGTTTGCAGTTTGTCTTTCTGCAGTAAGATACTGTTCAGTATCATCATTAGTTAGGAGTCTGAGATAATCCATAGTTCAAAGCAGTTGTATTTCTGGTCACCAGCAACTGGCAGACAGCTGGCTCTTACAAGTGAAATTTTCTTCTACTTGTGTCCATTTCTCGGCGCTGAAATTTAAAAGAAAAGTTATTAACCAGCAAGTTCATGCAAAAGGATACAATCAAGGACAACCACTCTGGTTTACAGTGGGGTAGGCAGTGAAATGTGTCACAGTGACAGTGTAGTTGAGTCTTTATAGTCAGCTTTTCAGGACTAACAAGGGAGAAGAATTAGAGATTAGTGATTTCGAACTAAAGAACATGTAGCAGATCTCTGTCTACTGACAGCAGACAAAGTGTTTGTAAAACAAACACGATTATCCATTTCATGGACTACATCAGAAGTACTGGAATTTTCCTTCTGGTATAGCTTGGATACTCACTTCTAAGTTCTGCCACTTCACTGCAATTCTATGGTAAAAATGACTGGAAAAGTAATTTATCATTGCCTAGAGTTAATACTGCCATTTCACTTGATGTGTAGAGGTCAATGTTACTTTGCATTTGTTATTAAGAACTGACATTTATGTAAATAGCTTAATAATTTTTACGTTGATTCTTGCACTCACCGTGCACAAAAAAACCTCTAGTCAAGTGTATTAGGCTCCCAATAATAGCTTATACTAGGAAAGCATTTTTTACATATCTGTATATCTTAAAGAAAATACATTCTGCAAATAAGTAGTCATAGTATATTGATAGTCATCATCCTTGCTATTTTTATTTTTAACTTACAATACAGCAGAATGCTTCTACTTTGCATACTTCTCAAAATATACCTCTAAATATTTCAGTTAAACACTTTCATATTGAGAACTGCATTTATGCTGCTTTTTTTAGGCTAAGATTTGTGGTTACATTTCATGTCAGATTTAGTCTCCCCTTCCTGAGCAGGACTGTTATTACTTCGACATACCTTATGAATCCATTCATATTCTCCAAATTTGGAATCAAAGGTTCCTTTTTGAAGAGACCTCAGCTTTAATGTAAAACGTGGCCCAAGTTCTTGAATTCCTACTTTCTTTTCACTCTTGAAGATATATCTTGGGGAAGAGAAAATAAAAATTACAAAAAAGTTACAAGAACATCCCCTCTCACTTGTGGGTTTTGTGGAAAACGTCACCTGTGGAATCTGAAAAAGATGTAGTCTCTTTGGTTGTGAAATGTAGCTACTTGTCTTCCAATGAACTGAGGATCATGTGGGAAGAGAGACGCAAACATGCGACCAACAGAATGGCCTAGTCGTGTTGTAAAATTATTCAGGATTATTTCAGGTACGTGTTCTGTGGGCTCTTTGCCTTTTCGCTGAAATGAAAGTAATAGGTAAGAATGCAAAGAATAGATCAAATGCAAAAGCATTTTAATATATTACTGGAAAGGAGTCTGAAATAAAATATGGGGAGGACAACCAGAGCCAACTTCTTGTAACGGGGCTGGTAACATACCCTAACCATTTTTTCAAACACAACTGACATTCCTATACAAGTAAAGGAGCAGCTGGTAACGTAAGGATCTTTGGGTCAACAGTGTACATTGAATGAAAAATAATTTTACATTTCCTCTCTCCTGCACCAATTTCCACTCCTGGCAGCACCTGTTATAGCAAATAATGCAGTCTATCAACCATAGGAGTCTTCTCTGTGTACCAGTATCAGCTAAGAGTATATGGGACCAAGAGTACATTGGATTCTTCTTTAATAAGAACAGATGAAGTTTAAAAACTTCTTTCAAAAGAGTATTTTACTGCAAATTATTTAGGGCTAAGTAATACTTACTACAGAAGAGGTGACAGGCCTATAAGAATGACTGTTTTATTAAAGACTATGAACTACATCTATTGAAATATTTTATACTGATTTTTATATACCCTATTGTGTGTATACTATACATTGGGTATTCCCTGTTGATGTAGGTTATCAGCTGCTATTTAATGGCAGAAGTATAAAAATACTTGAAGAAATTCAGCAAAAAACAATGAAGATTAAAATATGCTGCAATGGAAATAGAATATACTAGTCCTTGGCCTTCTGTTAGCTTATAAACCCCACCACCACCACCTTTACAAGATCAGCTGAATCATACAGAAGGACAAGCCATTCTGACAGTTCAAGTAGACTGAATGTGTTTATCATTACTACCTTTTTTTTTTTTTTATTATTTTGTTGGAGTCTCACCTTTATTTCTTTACGCAAACGGACACTACTCATTCTAAAATGAGCGGTTGGACCATCAGGCAGATGACTTAGCAGAAGGCCATCTGTTCACAGTTAAAAAAAAAAGGCTGGTAAAAGTCAGCATGTAATTTACTGAAGAACATTTTCTGTGAAATGCGGTATTACACTAGAGTATTGTACCCATAACCTATGCCTGATTTACAAGGTTTCATTATATTTTTAAACATACATTCATAAACTAGTTAACTAATGTTCTGAAATAAGCCCATTCAATTTTGTGTCAGTAGCTAACCAGAGCCACCTTCTATCGCTTTCTCACTTACTAATGTTTTGTCTAGTCAGCAAAACTAAATGGAACTTCTTGGTCAGAAAAAATTGTTAATTAATCAAACTTAAACTTACTGAAATAATAACAATGTTTATCCATGCATTACAGTCTAAAAAAGAGCGCAAAACACTTAAATAATTCCAAAGTTCCACTAGCCATCAGATAGTCAAGTTGGCACAGCGATTCCTAAATGTAGTTAACACTGTAAACTGCACAGCGAAGAGAAAAAAATCCAGAATAAAGTAGATCTTTGATGCATGCTACAGAAATATCTCCTTTCTCTAACAAGCCCAGAACTAGCATATCTATCTTAATAAATACATAAAAGGATACTTGGTATTTTGCGATCTTCATTAATGACGATTAAATCCGTGAAGTCCCTTGCAATACACTGTGGAATAATTCTTTTCAAAGCCAGTCCTCTTCGATAGTAGACATGCGAGTTAGGTATAACAGTAGCCAGTTGTTCACAGAATCTCACTGTTCTCTGCAACACAAGTGAGTTAACTTGCAATGTGGTAAGTACAGTGCCAAATTCAAATATTAGGAGAATGGAGGGTTGCTCGTTCCAGCTGCCCTCCCTGATGATATGTTACTTCCAGTATCTCTATAAACATTTGAGGACAAGCTATTAAATCTAGTCAGTGGAAAAAAAAATTATTTGCAGTAAAGAATGCAGCACACCAGGGACTTTTTTTTTTTTAAAGGACTTTTTTTTTTTTTCCCCTCCCTCAATCATAGAAAAGCAGGAAAATTCCAAAAGCATAACCTCCAAACTCATTAAAAACATTGGCTTACAAAAAGTTCCTAACATTTCAAAATACAATATGACTTCAGGTACTAATGTCTGAGTTTCCAGATAACCTGTTTGAGGTGTAGTTTTTCCTATTTTTAAAACCACTTTTATGGTTTTCACAAATGTCAGTAATCTCCCCAGTTGGGTAATGCAGATCATCTGCATACAAGAACATGCATTAGGTTGTTTTTTGTTATGAAGGAAACAGTACTAGAGAAACTCATAGATTACACACATATACAAGGTTATTGATAGTCACTAAATAAAACAGCAGCAAAAAATCCACGTGAAAGATATTTTCAGCTTTAATTTACCAATCATTAAAACCTTGGTATCTTATAACCAATTGCTGAGAACTCTCCAAATAAAACATACATACCCCACGAGGTCTGTCTGATGTTGTAATAAGAATCTTGGGAACTGTCTGTCTGTTGAAGTATGGTGCAAATTCATCCGTTGCTTCATCAAAAGCAACCTGGAAGAACAGAACTCTTGTAAATCCACCATATACAAAATAATTGAAGTACAATTGTTAAACTAATCTCAAATCTGATGAAACTGAATTCAGAAGGAAAAATTTCAAATCACAATATCTATCATATAATTAATCATCACAAGGCATGTGGTTTTTACATTTTTAAGAACCTAGTGTGATGAACACTGGCAGGTTTTACTACCAATAACAGTAATGCAAAAGGCAATTATCTAATGTAGATAATTAAATAATGACATCACCTCTTAGTGAACCCATCACATGTAAAAAGTGATCCATCAACATCTTAACAGGAGGGAGGTGAACACTAGTTATCATAATAGCACATGCAGAAATTAAGCAGTTACCTCTTCATCATTGGGATCTACAGTTGTTTCATCATACTCTCTCTGATTTTCAATAGTCTTTGGCACGGCTTTTGGAGGTGCCTAAAATAAACAAGTTTATTAACATTTTCATATAATTTTTAAGTGTATTGCAAAAATAACATTCCTGCTGCCATGATACTATTAGAAGTATTATTTGTTTTACTCCAGCTTTTAAAAAAGAAGTTACAACATTGCCTTGAATAAAAATACACACAGGTTACTGGGACACCAGAGAGCATCACATGGTGGAAAAGCATTGCTAGAACAGTGACACTGCTTAATTTCAGTCTAATTAAGAAACATAATAAAAAAAGAGGGGAACTTTCTATCCACTTCTCTTCCATAGGAAAAAAAAAAAAAAAGCTGTACTTTCAACAGCAACACATTTTCGCCTATTTAACAACCAGTAATCTATAATGTTTACTCTCTTTACTTACACTACTCTTGTGAGATTATGATAATACAGGAACTCAGAGCTGACTGTCTTCAACTGTCAAAATGCTTTTGAAGTATTTCAGAAAAAGAAGCAAACCCTTTCTTCATGGCTAGACTTGGAAAAAAGCAGACAACCGGTCTGGGCAGGATTTGGTCAGATCTAATTATTTTAATTTATACAGAAGTAATGACATCAACACAATGCCACAGCAATTATATTGGTCATAGAAAACTTCAGGAAGGGCCTGCTTTACACCATTATTAGCTTAAAACTCACCCTGCCCGGCTACAGCATCATTTAACACAGTACCAACAAGGTTTCCAAGATGAACTCTTTGATACCTCCGCTATTCGACGCAGTGGCTCTGCAGGCTATCACGGCCAGCGAGCACCCTATCACTGCTCCACTCAATGAAGTTTATGGAGAAACCGTTTCACTCACGAAACGGAGGAGCCCCCGGCACAAGGCTGAGCTGAGGAACTATCACCAAGGCGAGCCCTTCCCCGTGCGCAGCGGAGCTCCCCCTCCCTGCAGCGGGGACGGCCTCGCCACGGCATGCTGCGGCCAGAGCCCTTACTTTGTCTCCGAGGGCTTCTCGCTCCTTTCTCCGCTTCTTCTTGGCGGCCAGTTTCTCCTAGTGGGAGAGGGAGAGCGATCCGTTAGCCAGACCCGCCGCCCCCGGCCGGGGCCTCCCCCGCCATCCGCTAACGGCCGCCACACCGAGCCCGTCCCCACCTTCCTCTGCTGCTGCT